CCTGGGTGAGGGGATGATGGCTGTTTGCAGCTGGTCACACACCCTTCAGGGTAGGGGTCCCCACTGGGGTGCCTGGCCAGCCTGGGTGAGGGGCTGAGGGCTGTTTTCAGGCTGACGGATGACGGAAGCTCCCAACCGCTCCTTTTTTTCTTTTTTCTTTTTTTAATTCTGGGCCAGCTTTAGCTCTGAGGCTCCAGCTCTTAGGCCTCCACTGCTGAAAGTAGGTATCTGGTTTGTTTTGTTTCGAAACAATGTATAACTCCAGCTCTGACTCCAGCTCTGAGATCCCAGCTCGCTGAAAGCTGGTTTCTGGGGGTTTTTTTAGCTTCTATATTTGTTAAAATGTTTCAAACTGCAGGCTCAGAGGCCTGCAGCCGCAGGCGGGGAACGTTGGTTTCCTCCGTCACTGAAGCAAGCAAGCCTCATGTTAGTTTCAAGCTGCCTGGCTGCCGGCCGCCATCTTGGCTGACAGTTATTTTGCATATCGCCCTGATTAGCCAATGGGAAGGGTAGCGGTCGTATGCCAATTACCATGTTTCTCTTTTATTAGATAGGATAATTTTAAGTCAAGCACCAAAGCATAAATGTTAATATTTGATTGTTAGAAAACAATGTTAACATATATACAGCATTTGGCTTATGGAAATAATAACCACTTTAAATGAAATATTTTAGACGCTTGTGTGTAGAAAGTGCTGGAGAATAAAGTACAGTTTTACTTTACTGCTACTGAGAGCAACGAGAATCTGATTAAATCTTCCGTTTTCAACACTTAGCATCACTAAGAAAAGAGACTGACTGAATTGGTCCACAAAACATTTTAAGTTCCAGTGTATTTTAAATGGGAAAAATTTCACTAATAGAAGTTCTTAAGATTTCAAATTCCTTTTAGTCTGTTCACGGAGAATTAAAACATATTTTAAAAATATTTCTTAAGAAGAAATTCATTTCCTGTACTCTGGTAGACAAGGTACTTTGGCGCTCCTGCTATAGAAAAGCTAAAAATGCTGTATTAACTAGAACAGAGGTCGCCAACCTTTCGGACCTCACAGACCACCAGTGGTCCGTGCCACCGGTTGACAACCGCTACTCCAAAGGTTTCCTTTCTAGAACAAACATGTTTTTAATCAGTTTAGCTGGTGAACACTAAGTGAAAGGAGGCCCCAGGGAGGCTGTGTCTCTGAAGTCAGCTTTGGCCTAAAGGGCATTTGCGAAACTGGAGAACTGAGCATCAGAAAAGCCTCCAGGGCCAAACCCAAAGAACAACACCCATCAGCCCAAGTAGAAGCCTAAGAGAAGGTCCCTCCCACGACCCCTGGCCAGCCAGGCCTCAGCCTCAATAAGCTGAGAAATTGTCTTAAACTCAGAGACTGTGGCCAGTCTACCCTCACCCTGTTTGACAGACTGAAATTGGATTGGTTGATAGAACCTAAAAGTAAAGTTTAAAGAGATCTAGGCTGGTAGTAGCCCCAGAGCAGGAGAAATACAAATCCTTTCTGCAAGAGCCTATCTTTTTGTTTTCCTTTACATATAAATTTCAGAGAAGGGAGATAGAAATCTCAATGATGAGAATTATTGATCAGCTGCCTCCCACATGCCCCACACCAGGGATTGAGCCAGCAACCCAGCCATGTGCCCTGACCAGGAATCAAACTGTGACCTTCTGGTTCATAGGTCGATGCCCAACCACTGAGCCACAACGGCCAGGCTGAAAGAACCTATCTTCAACTCAGGCCGCAGGAAATTCCTACAGAGTTAAACACAAAAAGAACAAGGTGCTAAGAGAACCAAGAGGAATAACATATAAGGACCAGATCTGCAAAGACTTCACCTATTGGAATTATACACAGAAAACAAATGTCTGAAGAAATAAAAGTAGTTTTTAAAAATATGAATTAAAAAGAATAAGAATTCAGCATCTGTGACAACTCAGAAGACATATAATAATTTAAATTAACTCAACAAACAGGCTTAACAGCAGAGGAGACCAGAATGAAGAGAGTAAAAGATCTGAAGCACTGATCAATAGCAAAGCACAGAGACAGGAAATAGGTTAGTAGACATGAATAGAGTGAAAAGGTTTAACAAGCATCTGTTTCACCCTGGCTGGTTTGGCTCAGCAGATAGAGCGCTGGCCTGCGGACTGAAGTCACAGTTTGCCAGTCAAGGGCATGTGCTGTGGTTGCAGGCTCAATCCCCAGCCCTGGTCAGGGTGTGTTCAGGAGGCAACCAATCAATGTGTCTCTCTGTCTCTCCCCCTCCCTTACACTCTCCCTAAAAATCAATGGAAAAATATCCTCAGGTGAGGATAAAAAATAAAAAAAAAAGATTGTGGATTTTTATATAGAAATATTTCCCTGCTTGATTTACCATAAATACTACTATACAGGAAATCCAATTGGCATGAAGAGAGCTTTAGCTACTTTAAATCAAACAGATGTCTCATCTAAAGCTAGAAACTATCTATACCCAGTATTTTTTAATAGAAACACAAACCTATAGCTATCCAGAAGTATACATAAATATACAAACATTAATACCAGTAATCCCCGTTCTGTGGAATCATGGGAGACTTTGCTTCCTCATTCCTTTTCTGGACTCTTCAAATAGGATTAAAAAGAAAAGCACCAGTTATTTTTTTAGGTACTACTTTTATAATTTAAAAATTTTATTTTTTAAGAAGTTCTCCCACTGCACACACAGCTGACTCTCATAGCCAGTTGGCCTGGAGGTCAAATCACCCCCAGTATTGCCGACAACAATCAAGGCTTAACTACAACAAGACTGCGCACAAAGACCACAAGGGGGTGCACCAAGAAAGCATAAAAAATGCGGAGACAAAGAAACATGACAGAAATGGAGGATATAGAGCTAAAAACCACAATTTTAAGGTCTTTCAATAATTTTCTAGAAACTGCCGATAAATGTAGTGAGATCCTCAAGAAATCTAATGAGACCCTCGATGTTGTGATAAAGAACCAACTAGAAATTAAGCATACACTGACTGAAATAAAGAATATTATACAGACACCCAACAGCAGACCAGAGGAGAGCAGAATCAAGTCAAAGATTTGAAATGCGAAGAAGCAAAAAACACCCAACTGGAAAAGCAAAATGAAAAAAGAATACGAAAATAGTGTAAGGTGTCTCTGGGACAGCTTCAAGCGTACCAACATCAGAATTATAGGGGTGCCAGAAGATGAGAGAGACCAAGATATTGAAAACCTATTTGAAGAAATAATGACAGAAAACTTCCCCCACCTGGTGAAAGAAATAGACTTACAGGTCCAGGAAGTGCAGAGAACCCCAAACAAAAGGAATCCAAAGAGGACCACACCAAGACACATCATAATTAAAATCCCAAGAGCAAAAGACAAAGAGAGAATCTTAAAAGCAGCAAGAGAAAGAAACTCAGTTACCTACAAGGGAGTACCCATACAACTGTCAGCTGATTTCTCAACAGAAACTTTGCAGGCCAGAAGGGAATGGCAAGAAATATTCAAAGTGATGAATACCAAGAACCTACAACCAAGATTACTTTATCCAGCAAAGCTATCATTCAGAAGTGAAGGTCAGATAAAGAGCTTCACAGATAAGGAAAAGCTAAAGGAGTTCATCACCACCAAACCAGTATTATATGAAATGCTGAAAGGTATCCTTTAAGAAGAGCAAGAAGAAGAAAAAGGTAAAGATACAAATTATGAACAACAAACATGCATCTATCAACAAGTGAATCTAAGAATCAAGTGAACAAATAATCTGGTGATCATAATAGAATCAGGGACATAGAAAGGGAATGGACTGACTATTCTTGGGGGGGAAAGGGGTGTGGGAGATGCGGGAAGAGACTGAACAAAAATCGTGCACCTATGGATGAGGACAGTGGGTGGGGAGTGAGGGCGGAGGGTGGGGCGGGAGCTGGGAGGAGGGGAGTTATGGGGGGAGAAAGAGGAACAAATGTAATAATCTGAACAATAAAGATTTAATTAAAAAAAAAAAAAGAATGTAATCCCTTTAAACAGCTCATGTAAATCATACTAATCTAGTGAAATAAATCTTGCATCACAAAGAGAGAAAAAAAATTTTATTTTAAAACCACACGTATCAATATCCATAAATGTATGGGATCACTGGGAGAATCGTAAGAAGCTGGTAACAGAGGAAACTTGGGTGACACAACAGTAAAGGATCAGGAGATGTTGGGGTTATTTATCTTTACTGTTGTAAGTATTACAGATGTCCCCCTTGCTTCCCCGTTTACCCTCTCCGTGCCGCACCCGCCCCCAGTGAACTTTTAAATGTGCCTTTTCTATGCTTTAAATTCAGTACCATGTTTGTTTTTTTAATCCTCATCTGAGAATATTTTTCCATTGATTTTTTTTTTTTTAGAGAAAGTGGAAGGGAAGAGGGGGAGAGGTAGAGACAGAGAAACATCAAGGTGAGAGGGACACATCAGTTGGTTTCCCCCTGCACCCACCCCAACTGGGCCTAGGGAATGAACCTGCAACCCAGGTACATGCATGCCCTTGACTAGGAATTGAACCCAAGACCCTTAGGTCCACGGGCCAATGCTCTAACCATTGATCAACACTGGCCAGGGCAATACCAAGTTTATTATCTATTTTAAAACAATTATGTGAAATATGACGAACATTTAAACTTCCCCTATTTAATCTTCACTATTAATGTACGTGGAAAGCGTTAACAGCTGTGAAATGTAAATCTCTTCCTCTAGCCTCAGTGAAATCTGTCATAATTGCAGTACTAACTGAGAGAATATATCCTTAGGAAATAAATAAAGGTCTTGTCAGGGAGGCTTGAAACGGCTTAGTGTGCCAAGGACATCCCTGGGCATGTGCACCTGGCCACTCGATCGAGACTACGCAACCCGTCCAGCTGCCTGCAGCTCAGGTGGGCATCAGACTGTGGCCTCTACGGACCCTGGACCCTGCAACCTCCTTGTGCTGCTGCCATCTCCCCCCATCAGGTTGGCATCTCACCCTTGTGGCCACATGTGCCCTGTGGTGACTGACAGTGGAAGCTGGAGTCGGAGCTCTCACGATGCTGTCTGTAGAAACAGCTGTGCTCCTGGCTCTGCATCCTTCCTCAAAGCCACGTCAACCTGCTGCCAGGTAAGTCGGGATGACCAGGGAACCTGAGACCACTCCAGTCCGATAAACGGAAGTAACACAGCGCTTTGTCATTTCATGGTACAACCAGCAGGAAGCACAGCGAGCTCCTCACTGGGTCACTAAGGAGCACAAGAACATGATCTTTTCAAACCTAGTGATGGAATCTGGCTTCCAGGTGCTGCAGCCGACGTAGTTAATGGTTAAAGCCCTCTGCCACTTGTCAGTTACAGACTGGTCACAGCAAATGAGTAGCTGTAAGGAAGTCATACAAGCACTTGCAAAGATTTTAATTAGTAAAGAAGTGTTGTAAAAATATTTAGCAGCATTATACTTTATGGGCCAAACATGTATCTATTTAAATGAATTTAATCAGGCTTCCTACTTTGTTTAATTTTGTTCCGTTCTATGGAGCATAAATATTAAATGCTTATAAATACATTTCATTTGAAATGCTTTAAGTACAAAACACAAAATTCAAGCACAAAACAATGTGTAATGATCTCACAAATACATTTATAAAACTCGGAAATGAAAAAATAACAGCTTCAAATAAGGAGATAATACTCCACCAAGGCTTGCTCAACAGATGACATTTTAAACCAAAGATAAGCACAGGCAATGTCAGTTAGTGTTATTCTCAGTGGTGCTGCATCAGATTAAAAAACAAATTTTCAAATTCTAGTAGTGATATTAAATTGCTTTCTAATCTGGATTAAAAGTAGTATGAAGTCTTTAAAGTACTTAAATTATGAGAAAATGTTGACTTTCCAATTGGCAATGTGACCTTTAAAATATGCCAAGAGAATGCCCAGCCAGTGTGGCTCAGTTATTGAGCATCAACCCATGAACCAGGTCACAGTTCGATTTCTGGTCAGGGCACATGCCCAGGTTTCAGGCTTGATCTCCAATAGGGTTCGTGCATGAGAGGCAGCCAATTAATAATTTTCTCTCATCATTGATGTTTCTCCCTCTCTCTCCCTCTCCCTTCACATCCCTGCAATCAATTTTTAAAAAGCATACTTAAAATATGCCAAGTGTGCAAATCACAAGTAACAACATGTAGATAGATGCCTGTAATGTCACATTTCTTATCACAAATCTGCTGCTTGCTGGCCAGTACAGAGGCGTGACAGACCTCTCTGCCTCAATGACAAGTGTACAAATTTAATTCTTCTAAGAATCTCACATAAAATCCAAGAACAAGCAGGTTCACCAAAAGAACTAACCTGCACTCTTTTGTTTCTTAAACAAATACAAGACAATAAAACAGTTTAAGTCAGCTTTTTAACCTACATGAAAATTCATTTTTCAAAGTCTCAGAGCTGTATCCTTCTTTTTCAGCTGAAAGGATGAAGCATAATAGCCACAACTTTGTTACAGACTAAAATCCAACAGGTGATTCCAACACCACCTAAAAATAAACAAATTCAACGTGAGAGCACAGCAAGCGTCTGCCCACATTCCCTGCCTTTGTTCCCAACGTGGGGCACACGCCCCACAGGGGGGCGATTCGAGAATAAGTTATTAACAATGAACCTTTTGCATTTCTTATGGTTCTAGGGGCCTCATATACACTATATAAATACATACTGTGACATATTTATGCCAGTTCTCTATTCTATGTTTTGAAACTTTGCTATTTTTTCTTATCACTTCATATTATTATTTTTTTAACAATTTCTTAGTGATTTCTTCCTCAGGACTTCAACTTCTTTTATTCTTTTTTCTCTTTCATGGCTGCCATGTTCTTTGGAAGCTTGTTTAGACCAAGTTAATGGCTTTTAGGCTTCCTCCACGTGCCTAGGAGTTCACTTTTTGAATAATAAGAATTACACGTCACGGGGGGCGGGGCATCAGGATTTTAGAGATTCTTAGGTGGGGCGTGGCCAAAAAAAGGTTGGGAACCACTGTCTTAGAGGAAGTAAGTAGTTCCATTCTTTTGGAGCAGTGCTGGGCTAAGACAAAGTTTGTATTTGTGGGTTCCAATGCATCAAACTTTCGATTAATTCACAGGGCTGCCTTCCTTACTAAGCAGGAATTATACAGAACCATAAGCGCTGGTTTGAGTTCCTCTTCTCTACAGAGAAATAGACTTTATTATTGACAATATTCGTAGGCTGGAAGACCACTCTGTGACACTATTTGGTTTTCCCTTCTCAAAGAGCGTCATGAATGAAGCAATGTTTACCCACACCATTCCTGTCCCACTGGTCAATGAGAGACAGGAAGGCAGGCTGCAAGAGTGGCCAGTGGCCTGCTGGCTGCCGGGAAGACTGGCCTCTTGCACCAGTACTGCCCTCAAGGCTGAGTCCCACAAAGGGGGTGGGGGAGGGAAGTGGTTAAATTGAAACAGTCATTCCTTTTAATTTAGTAATTCACCTCCAGCATTATCACAAATCACAACCAAAAACTGACTGAAAAGGAGGTGTGCTATAGCATTATTCTTGGTAGAAAAAATTAGGACCTAATTTTTAACAGGAAAATTAGTAAATTATGACACATCCAAATGAAGAACAGCTATTCAAAACTCCTTAATAAAGAAAAGTTTATTGATATGGGAGAAGGCTTACAATATAAAGTAAAAAGGGACAAAAAGCTAGACAACCTTAACTATACAAGGGTGGGCAAAAGTAAGTCTACAGTTGTTCAAATGGAATATATAATACAAGAATAAATAATAATACAAGAATAAACTGTGTTTCATGTCATCATAACTGTAAACCTACTTTTGCCCATCCCTGTATAAAAATAAATAGAAAAAGACTGGAAAAATATAGCACAGTCTAAGAGGTTATCCATAGCTAATGAGTTTTCTTTCATTTTTTTTTTCTTTTTAGTCATCCCACAATGACATGTACTACTTTTAACATCCAAAAGAAATTATCATTCACATATAAAAAAATGGCCGAGAGCCATAAATGCCCTCGCTATGCCTAGAATTGAAAAGGGGCTGCAGAATCTGGGAACTGGAAGTAGTGTTGGAATAAGCAGGCTGTCGACTGCAGGGATGGGCTTAGAGTCCAGAAGCAGCCGTGGCTTGAGTTCTAGCTCTGCTACTTAACATTTCGGTGATAGCGGACAAGGTAAGGAACTTCTCTGGATCTGCATTTCCTCACAGCCAGCCTTCGAGGCTGAGACGCAAACCCCTACCCCCCCCACCCCCACCCCCACCCCCTCCCCACCCCTACCCCTACCCCCCCACCCCTGTGAAATGGACGATGAGGACGGTGTCGGGTTGACTTCACCTACCACACACCTCCTCCTGTCTCTCCACAGTCTCCCACTGTTTCCCCAGGAAGCTCTTACCTGCTACTCTAGTGGGAAACGCCACCAGCCGGTCGAGCGGAGTTATCCATTTACTGGGCACCACAGCCACAGGAACAGAATAATACTTCCAAATGAGGGAGACCATCAGGGCAGCCTGCGAAGACACTGTGCTGAGTGCCAACCACCTGCCGTCCGGCGGGCAGTCCTCACAGGGAGAAGAGGACACCCCACAGCGACGACCAAGCCCTATCAATCCAGTCCCTGCAGCCCACAGCGCCGGGAACATATACAGCTGACCTTGAACAATGCGGGTTAGGGGCACCGACCCCACACAGTCAAAAACCCCAGTGTAACTTCTGACTCCCCAAAACATAACTACTAATAGCCTACTGTTGATAAACAGCTGACTAGCACATATTTTATGTTATATATATCATATACTGTGTTCCTACAATTAAGCTAGAGAAATGTTAAGAAAATTATAAGAGAAAATACAAATATATCTTTTATACATTCATAACATACCTTTTTCTTTTTTTTTTTTTTGCTTATTTCTACTTTATTTTTTTAATTGATTAAGTTATTACATATGTTTCTTTATCCCCACATTACCCCCCATCCCCCCACTCATGCCCTCACCCCCCTGTTGTCTGTGTCCATTGGTTAGGTACCTTTTTCTTAATATTTTCAATATTTCTAGGCTATTCAGTGGTTCACCTGTGAGTTTTGACAAATTGTCACAAGTCTCCAAAAAAGTTTCCAATATATTTATTGAAAAAAAATCCACATAGAGTGGACCCATGCAGTTCAAACCGATGTTGAGCGTCAACTAAATACACTATTAAATTAGCTGATAAATAAGGAAGATTTCCCATAACACAAGTGTTCTTTTCTCAATGAATATCTCTTTTAGGTAAACTATGCTAAATACACCTTACTAGGGACAAAAGCAACCTTACGCCTCTGGATCCTTCAAAAAGTAGTTGGCTCTCATCCACACTCTAGTGCTGGCCTTCTCATGCAGAAGCGGGCCTCTGCAAGTTTAAATAGTGAGAGCATCTCTTCTCTCCCCTCCTTTCCCCAGCAGCATTCCCTCGAGTTGTCTTCTGTCCCCTCTGTGGCCCTGAATATGTCACTCAAATATGCCCTAAAAGAGGGCCTCTGGCGCTGGCCGGGTAGCTTGGTTTGTGAGAGCCTTGTCCGGATATCCACGGGTAAGGACCGTCCAGCCCTCAGGCCATATAAGACCAGCAAAATCATTTGGTCTGGCCCTATTAAGGCATCAGGGGTGAGTTAATTAAATGTTTGACCACATACAGCAGGCTAATTTTTAAGTTGATAATTGTGTATGGCCCCCGAAAGATGTTATAAATATCCCAATGGCCCTTGGCAGGAAAAGGTCCCCACACCTGCGATACGCCAAGATAGTGAGTTCGATCCCCTGTCAGGGCACATACAAGAAGCAACCAATGAATACACAAATAAGGGGAACAACAAGTCAATGTCTCTGGCTCTGTCTCTCTGTCTGTGTCTCTCTCTCCTTCTCTCTCTCTCTCTCTCTCTCTTTCAAATCAATACATTATTTTTTTTAATTAAAAGAGGGCCCCTGGCTTAACTTCAGTCCCTGGAAAAACCTATCTCATATCAGTGACAGCGCCTCAGGATCAAAGTACTTACTACAACCAAACAGCCTGAGTCCTTTACCCCAATCAACATCATTCATAACATTGAACCTCAGAGATCATTTAAAGCAGCCATAGCAGATCTGCAACCTCAGGGTAAGGCAAGTAAAAGTCCCCCCTAGGAAAGTTGTGAGTCAGTGGTACTGGACTCTCATGACAATACGGGTTCCCTACCTGGAGAATAGTCACTTACTCATCTGTAGACCATGGAGGAAGCAACAGCCAAAATCACTGGCCATCTCAGAAAACACCATTTCTAAGTAAGCTTCTCTCACTTCACCCCCAGCCTCCCAAACCTGCGCTGGAGTGAAGACCACATGAAGAACTCCAGAGGAGTTACTTAGGCGTTCATTTGCTTAAAAATCCCAAGAGTTAACGACACTAATCAAGAGAAAGGCTTTTCGTCTAACTTATAAATTCAGAGTGTTCGGAGTTACATGCTTGCAGGACACTCAGCACAGCAGCTGAAGGTGGAAAAGCCTGGATTCCAGGGGCCGAAGTGGAGCAAAGTCCATCACCAGCTTTAATGACCCAGTGACACCACAGGACACACACCTGCAATACGTAGAAGGCAACACTCATAACCCACTTGATCTTGGCCAACTGCGCTGTCCGTGCTTTCACTGAAAGGAAAAACAGGATGAAATGATTATATCAGCCCTGAAAGGAGAAGAAAATATTCAAATACACAGAAGTGCTCTTTTTTTTTTTTAATATATTTCTTTATTGATTTCAGAGAGGAAGGGAGAAGGAGAGAGAGATAGAAACATCAATGATGAGCGAGAATCATTGATCGGCTGCCTCCTGCACGCCCCACACTGGGGACCGAGCCCGCAACCCAGACATGTGCCCTTGGCCGGAATCGAACCTGGGACCCTTCAGTCCGCAGGCTGACACTTTATCCACTGAGCCAAGCCGGCTAGGGCCAGAAGAGCTCTTTTGTCTCACAAAATATTTTCTAATTATGCATGTACATATAAAATAGGATGTCTTACATCACCCACTATGCTATTATTTAAAATAGAGCTCAGCCAAAGTGGCTCAGTGGTTGAGCATCAACCTATGAACCAGGAGGTCACAGTTCAATCCCCAGTTAGGGAATAAGCCCGGTTGCAGGCTTGACCCCAGTGTGAGGGTCTGCAGGAGGCAACTGATCAATGATTCCCCCTCATCATTGATGTTTATACCTCTCTCTCCCTCTCCTTTCCCCGCTGAAATCAATAAAATTCTTTTTCAAAACTTAAAAATAAAATAGAATCACACACAGATTGGGATGTGAAGCTTTAATTTCAAAAAACCTTAAAGCTATTCCTCTAGCCTCACTGGTGTGGCTCAGTAGTTGAGCATCGACCTATGAACCAGGAGATCACAGTTCAATTCCCGGTCAGAGCACATGCCCAGGTTGCTGGCTCAATCCCCAGTCTGAGGCGTGCAAGAGGCAGCCAATCAATGATTTTCTCTCATCTCTGATGTGTCTCTCTCTCTCTCTCTCTCTCCCTGCCTTTCTGAAATCAATGAAATATATTTTTTAGAAAAAGCTATTCATCTAAATCAGAGATTCTTTTCACAATGCACTTACCAATCAATAGGACTAAATGTTCTTCCCCAATTCCCCGGTCTACACTGTACACTAATCCATAAGGGAGCCTAATTGCCTGGGTCCTGGGCAGGCCCCTCTGCCTGTTTTACTAGCCACGCAGACAGCTCTCTCACAGTGCATGCTCTCAGCACACAGCTGCCCTGTGAAATTCGTCGTCATCACAGCAGACTGTTATGGACAGTGGCAAACAACAAAATGAGTAAGACCTGAGTCTACACCCGGACAGCACTTTTTAGAGAACAGAATAAGAAAGCCCCTGAGGCCCTAGCCAGTTTGGCTCAGTGGACAGAGCACTGGCCTGCAGACTAAAGGGTCCCAGGTTTGATTCCAGTTAAGGGCACATGCCCCGGGTGCGGGCTCGATTCCCACAAGGGGGCCTGCAGGAGGCAGCCAATTAATGATTCCCTCTCATCATTGATGTTTCTGTCTCTCTCTCCCTCTACCTTCTTCTGTGAAATCAATAAAAATATGTTAGCCCTAACCGGTTTGGCTCAGTGGATAGAGCATCGGCCTGCGGACTCAAGGGTCCTGGGTTCAATTCCGGTCAAGGGCATGTACCTTGGTTGCGGGCACATCCCCAGTGGGGAGTGTGCAGGAGGCAGCTGATCAATGTTTCTCTCTCATCGATGTTTCTAACTCTCTATCCCTCTCCCTTCCTCTCTGTAAAAAATCAATAAAATATATATTAAAATATATATGTTAAAAAAAAAAAAGGAAAAAGAAAGCCCCTGAGAATCCGCTGTGAGATTCTTTTCTAGGCTTCTCTCAGAAAAGCTGAATTTGAAAATGACAACCTCTCAAGTTGGCTCTGAAGAGACTCTAAGAGTATCCTGAATGTTTCTGTTAGAAAGCAAAGGTTCACCAGCAAAATAAAGAGAAAGTAATGTAATTATTATTATTGGGTTTCTCCTATACAACTTCAAGGTTTATATCAACCTTTAGAACAGGGGTCCTCAAACTTTTTAAACAGGGGGCCAGTTCACTGTCCCTCAGACCGGTGGAGGGCTGGACTATAGTTTAAAAAAAAAACTATGAACAAATTCCTATGTACACAGCGGCGCCAAAAACACCCGGCGGGCCGAATAAATGTTTTCGGCAGGCCGCATGTGGCCCGCGGGCCGTAGTTTGAGGAACCCTGCTTTAGAACATCCAAGAACCAGTGCATGTATCCTACGGATCCTCACAGAAAAGGTTTCCTATGAATCAGCTCTCATGAAGCTTTCCAAAACCTACAAGTGAAAATGGTACCGTGAGGGGAGCATTTGAGGTCTTGCTTCCCGGCAATGTCATCAGTATGGCTCAAATAAACTCTTATAAAAATTCAAAACAAAAAATAAAAAACTGCACCATGAGTTTTGAGCTTATCTGTCATCTTGTTGATCTTCCTTTCCAGCCTGGCGTATCTGGCGAACTCGTCCATCATGTTGACAGTGGAGAGTTCCTGCTTCATGTCCTGGATCTCTGCTCTCATCTGAGACTCCTGCTCTGCATCCTTCTGCAGCACCCTGGACATCTGGTGGAGCAGACAGCAGGGGTCAGTGCCTTTCCACTTGGGGTACCATTCTCCTCGCCTCCACCATCCTGCCTGCTGCCTCTCTCGCCTGGGCAGGCTGCCCCTTACCTAGATAGATGGCCTCTGCTGCCTGGTCCTGGTCCTGGTCCCTACAACTGCAAATATAAAACCTCCCTTCGGCCCAGCCCGCGTGGCTCAGTGTTTGAGAGTCCACATATGAACTAGGAGGTCAGGATTCAATTCCTGGTCAGGGCACATGCCGGGGTTGTGGGGGCGTGCAGGAGGCAGCCGATCAATGATTCGCTCATCATTGATGTTTCTATCTCTCTCCCTCTCCCTTCCTCTCTGAAATCAATAAATATATTTAAAAAATAGAAAACCTCCCTCTGACTTGAATCGCTATTCACATTGTATTTTTCCTTTTGAAGACATGCCAAGGGATTGTTATGGTACAAATATGTGTGTCTTTCACTATAACTATAAAATTGGAATTATAAAATAGAAACTGTTTCCATCCCAGAGCTGTCATTCAGGTACGCGGACCAGGCATCTCCTGCCCGCCCTGAAGAATCCAGTCCTAAGTTAGGTAGGCAGAGCAGGATGCAGGTGCAGAGTACCAGTGATGAGGGCATTCCTGCCAAGGGGCACCCTGGCAAGAGGGGGCCGGGGAGGGGGGTCAGAGCCAAGCTAGTGATATGGTGTCTCCAGAAAGGGTAGCCTGATGTGGGAGTCAGAGGAGGAGCAGGGTAAGGCGCACATCTGTGGTAAGAGGAAGGTACCCAGCCAAACACTCGCAGAGCCCAAGCGGCATCCATGCCCGACAGGGGGTGGCAGTGGGAGCGTAGTTATTTATAGGATTCGTCAAATAAAGCCCCTCACGCTGCCCTCACTGTGTCCGTCCTGGGCGCCTGCGCAGTGCTCCTCCTGCGCCCACGCAGACGGGGCGCTCTGGAAGTCCCCCTCCTCCTCGGCCGCCTTTGACTAAAGAAAGTCCTGCAAAATGAACCAGGTCCCCTCACCCATGTGTCCTGTGACCAGCTGGAAGGGGAAAGAGCAAGAGCTCTCAGGAAAATTCCAAGTCAACAGCAGGGACTGGGGTGTCCTTATCCAAGCACGCATCCCATCCCAACATTCGGCGGAGATCCCCACCCGGGACCTTGCAAGGCTTTGCTGGGCAGAGGATTCCTGGCATTAGTATTCCTCACGGGCTCAGGCCAGGGAGCCAGCCAGCTGCTCAGTCAGTGGGATGGTGCACCCCTCCCTTGCTTCTGGCTGAACGGAAACCATCAGAAACCTTGCAAGAAGGTTATGATCGGAAGTGCAAGGGTGTGGCCCATTCCCAATCAAACTCTTTCCCTCCTCAGAGCCCTGCCCACTTGGGTCCTAAAATCAGGGCCTGTGCTGGTGCAGCACTTGACCTCCATGGGACCAGGACGTTCCTTACAGCTTTTCACTGACCCTCACACCAACCCAGCGACCAGGTGGAACAACAGGGCGTACACTAAGAAAACCCGCACCTGGCTAACAATCCCGACAAACAGTGCCACAACCAAGGGGCAGAGATTTAAGAAAGCTAACTGGTTTGGGTTTAGAAAGGTTATAGAGCCTGTAAGAAGCAGCACAGATGTGATACAAGTCCAAGGTCAAACCAGTTCCTCTTTCATCTAAATCAGCGGTTCTCAACCTGTGGGTCGCGACCCCTTTGTTTTTGTGATTAGTCACTATGCTTTCATTATATTCAATTTGTAACAATGAAATTGGGGGTCACCACAACATGAGGAACTGTATTAAAGGGTCGCGGCATTAGGAAGGTTGAGAACCACTGCTCTAAATGATGAACAGCCACCCTTACAGGGCAGCAGCTCACCCGAGTCTAGACTGCAGCGATAACCTCTTGTGACAGTGTTTGGTGTAGGCATGGTGAAGAAGCCTGACATGACCGGTCTTATTTACAGCTGCTGGCATACCCCAAACACACACTCCAACTCCCCCCTCAGCTAAGGAGAAATTACGAAGAATTCATAGAGGAATGCAAAACACAGCCTCTGAGAACTGAGATTAGTTGCATGTGGCTCCAACATGAGGTGAAATGGGGTGGGGTACATAGGAAGAATGGAGGAAGAATGAAAGACGGACAGTAACCCACAAAATGGAAGACAGCATCTGCAAATCACGTGGAATAGAGTTCGTATCCAGAATATATAAAGTACTCCTAATTCAACAACAGAAAAAACAAACAGCCCTTCCCTCCTGCTGTCCCCTGGGGACAGCTCCTGGCGCCCAATTTAAAATGGCATGAATAGACAGTTCTCTAAAGAAGAGATACAAATGGCCAATAAGCACAAGAAATGATGTCTAATATCACTACTCATAAGGAAAAATATAAATCAAAACCACATTTTGCACCTATTGGGATAGCAGTTCTCAAAGCAACAACCTAACATGACAAGTGGTAGAGAATGTGGAGAAACTGCAACTACTGTGCAATGCTGGTGAGAATTAAATGGTGCAGCTGCTGTGAAAAACAGAATGGCAGTTTCTCAAAAAAATTAAATGTGAAGGTATCGTATGATCCAGCAATTCCATTTCTGGGTAATTACCCAAAAGAATTGAAGCCGAAACCGGTTTGGCTCAGTGGATAGAGCGTCGGCCTGCGGACTGAAAGGTCCCAGGTTCGATTCCGGTCGGGGGCATGTACCTGGGTTGCGGGCATGTCCCCAGTGGGAGGTGTGCAGGAGGCAGCTGATCGATGTTTCTCTCTCATCGATGTTTCTAACTCTCTATCTCTCTCCCTTCCTCTCTGTAAAAAATCAATAAAATATATTAAAAAAAAAAATTGAAAACAGAGACTCGCACAGATATGTGTACCCCAATGTTCTACCAGCACTACTCACAATAGCCAAAAGGTGAAAACAACCCAGATGTCCATCTAAAGATGAACAGGTAGACACAATGTAGGACATGCATATAATGGACTAATATTCAGCCTTAACAAGGAATGCAATCCTGACACTCACTGCAAGGATGAACCCTAAAGACATTATGAATCGCAGAACAAGCCAGTCACAAAGTGACAAATACTGTACTATTTCATGTATACGAGGTACTTCGAGTCGTCAAATTTCATAGAGACGGACAGCAGAATGGTGGGTGCCAGGAAGAGAGAGAATAAGGAGTTAGTGTTTAATGCATACAGTTTCAGTTTAGGAAGATGAAAAACCTCTGGAGATGGGTGGTGGTGACAGCTGCACAACAATGTGAATGGACTTAGTGCCACTGAACTTTACACCTAAAAACGATTAAAATGATTATCCTATATAATAAAAGGCTAATATACAAATCATCTCTTCAACCAGGAGTTCGACCAGGGGGCGGGGCCAGCCAGCCAACCGCCTGTGGCCCCTCCCCCCCACTAGCCCCACCCCCGATCAACCTGCCACACACACATCCCCCATCGGGGACGGGCCTACCCGACCCCACCCGTGCACGAATTTGTGCACCGGGCCTCTAGTGTGTGTGTGTGTGTGTGTGTGTGTGTGTGTGTGTGTGTGTGTATGTATCACCATAATTTTTTTTTAAAGAAGAAAAATGGCCAGGGGCCAGCTCTTCAAGAGTCACTCATGCAATTTTAAGAACTTGGGACAACATCCTTAAAGACTAAGCAGCATCAGGAAAGATTCTGAGGAATGCCTGGGCGCTAAAAGAGAAGTCTCTATGCCTCACAGAACATTAGGGCCTCGAGATTTACACAAAACAAGCACTCAGTGAATACTGACAGAACAAAACATGAAAAAGTAGAAATCCTGCCTCGTCTTAAATACCCATCCCCAGCAGCAATTTATAGCAGGAGAGAAAAGCAGAGAGAACCGAGTTTCCGAAATAATGCTGCCACCCCTGCACCCAATGTTCCAGGTCTCAGTCCGGGTCAGACAGCCCCTCACTCCCGCTGTGGGCCAATAGGGGGCGCCCTCCCCCAGGGGACAGCTCGGGTTTCTCACACACATCCCCCACCCACCTCCACCCCCCATCAAAGTTGCCACGAAGCCCCTATTCATGCTCCAGGAGGAGCAGAGGTAAGAGAATCACAAAACAAGGATCAAACTTCCGCCCCCACAGTCACTAGCGGGGTGACTATGAGTCAGACTCCTCTCGGAGGTAAAGGAAGATGGGGCGGCATTCACCTCTCACGGCAGCCGTGACAGCGGGACACGAGGTCACGCACTCGCGCTGGGCAAGAAGCGCCGCTGAGACAGCGCTCCCCGGCGGGCGCCCGGCGCAGCCCTGAGTCAAGGCAGCATGACACGGTCCTGAGGTTCTGGGTCCGCACTGCCAACCACGCCACCCCATCCCTCCTGCACCCTTAGCTCCATCTCTCCGGGGCCGGCGAGGAAGGCCGAGGCCTCCGGCAACCGTCCCCCTAGCAGCCGAGGCTGCCGGACGCCTCCAGAGACGAGAAATAACGGAAATGGGGGGGGGGGGGCACTAAGAAGCCCAACCTGAACATCGCTGCCACGTGAAAGCGTGGCCAAGCGTTGCCAGGCGTTTCTTTCACGTCTGTATTTATTGATTTGAGCATTTCTTCCTTAAAATGCAGAAGGCCCGACCAAGACGCTTCTGCAGGCCGAATGCGGCCATCGCGCGGCCGGTTTGGGACCCCCGTGTCTCCGCCCGGCTCGGCGAGGGCGGAGGCCGCGACCCACCGGCCCCTGGAAGGCGAGGCAGCCACTTACGAAGGAGGAGAAGGACGGGAGGAGGATCCTGAGGACATTGCACCCAAACACGAAGCAGAGGACCAGCAGCCACGCCCAGTGGTCGGCCTCCACCGCGCTCATCCCGACGCTCCCGGCAGCGTGAGCTCCACCGAGGAGGACGCCGGAGACCCAGCCGGCGCTCGCACCGCGCCTGCGCCCGGAGGCCGAGCCCGCTGCGCCTGCGCACTGCGCCGCGCTGACGGGGAGGCGGGGCCGTCTTGCCCACGAGGTCGGGGTTTACGCCTTCTCCGTGGCCTTCCGGGCTTCCGTAGTCCCCTTGCAGCCACCCCTCTACTCCCGCGAGACCCGTTTTCCAAAGTCTGGTGGTTCGGGTCCCACTGTCTCTAGTTCGGGTGCGTCTGCAAACCACTTGTGTTATTATGTATTACTTTCTTTTCTTTCTTTTTTTATGTCATTTTTTAGTTATGTATTTTCATTTTTTTATATATTTTATTGATTTTTTACAGAGAGGAAGGGAGAGGGGATAGAAAGTCAGAAACATCCATGAGAGAGAAACATCGATCAGCTGCCTCTTGCACACCTCCTACTGGGGATGTGCCTACAACCAAGGTACATGCCCTTGCCCGGAATCGAACCTGGAACCTTTCAGTCCGCAGGCCAGCACTCTATCCACTAAGCCAAACTGGTTAAGGCTGTATTACTTTCCTTAAGTTGACTCACCTTTATTTTATTTAAAGTAAACCTTCCTAGAAATAGAAAACGACCATGATTATAGTGGCAGGTATCTGTAAAAAGAAATCTGTTTTGTAAGTAGTTATATGTAAAATGGGTTTTTACATGTCAAAACTAAACACAGTAACAATTTCCAAAACTGCACACCTAACTAAAAGGCACTGTTGGCAATCAGCCTGCAATAAACTAGTTAACCCACGTATAGGTGAAAATGGGGTATTACAGCAAAAGAACGCCATATTTATGTATAGTAAATAAAAGATGTCTAGCTGCCTCTTCTGCTATGATTGGAGTCTGAGAACTAAAACCTAAATCAAATGGATCACGGAGCTGTGGTTCTACCAATTTCTGTTTCAAGAAAACATGTGAAGCTAAGCTACTTAATAATGGTGGAGTGAATTCTTTCCATGGAAACACATCTTGGCTGGTAGGTGATACTGAACTGACCCAAAGATAAGCTGGGAGCCTGCCTCTCCTCCATAGCCTTCCCCTCCAGCAACTGCAGCCAGGCTACTGGCTCCTCGACACAAGGTTTAGAAGAATTTACAGGGAGAAGCCACCTCATGGAAAGTGATGGCGGCTCCCCCTCTGCTCTACCCTTCAGGCTGACAGGAGAGTTTCAGCTGCTCCCCACCCCTCCCACACCATGCACCACTATTACATACGCCCAGGAAGAGGCAAGAATTAGAAAAACAAAACAAAACAAACAGCCCTAACCGGTTTGGCTCAGTGGATAGAGCATCAGCCTGTAAACTCAAGGGTCCAGGTTCGATTCCGGTCAAGGGCATGTACCTTGGTTGCAGGCACATACCCAGTGGGGAGTGTGCAGGAGGCAGCTGATCGATGTTTCTCTCTCATCGATGTTTCTAACTCTCTATCCCTCTACCTTCCTCTCTGTAAAATATCAATAAAATATTTTTTAAAAAAAACAACAGAAAACACCAGAGAAATATCCCTGACTGTGCAGCAGTGATGGGAGAGGATCTGGCCTTCAGGAGCAACCCAACCTGAATAACTTAGCTCTCTCCTATTGCTTCGTTTGGACAGGGCTCAAACAAAGCACTCACAATGGAAGGCTGGATTTCCCTAACATGTGGAAAGAAAATATGAAAACCAAGACATCTCAGTAGAAATCAGTCTGGATCTAGTAACTAGAGATGTGCTCAAAACGGAGTGCCTTAGAGGCAGTTACTGAGGACAACCAGCATTAAGTGGGTATTTCTCAAGACAGGCGCACCAGAGGCAGCACTGCAACACAAGGTGAAACAAGATGGCCTCAACTATTCCCAAAATGGTGAAAACAGAGGGCACAACGAGAAGAAACAATTTAGTGGGAACTGAATTTACCTATTCTTTGGTTTGCCCACTTGGTTTTACTAAATGAAAATGATGATGATGACAACAATGATGATGATGGTGGTGGTGGTGATAATGATGACGATCACATACAGTGCTGAGTCAAAGAGCAGACTGACCATCTTTCCAGAATGAGTTAAGTGAAATCTGCAGTGTTTATTTTGGTGACTGGCACCATATAAGCTCAGGGAGTCACCTTGAATGCACAGATGTATAGCCATCATATTGTTCATTAGCTGTCACAGTCCCACAGGTTGGCAGCCTGTTTTAGGATCCAGGATAACTAACAATGAATAAAGTATGAGGATCTCTTAGGAAATGGAATTCTAGCATAGCTGAATATTCAAGTATTCCCTTTCTGTGCACACACACATATGCATTGTATATGTGTATGGGTGTGTGAGGAGCTAATCAGAATGAAAAATATAACCTTGTAATTTGAGCTATTTTGCTGTTTTTTAACTTGTTAAAAAATTATGAAAAAATGTTAAATGCAAATGTTAAAGTATATGTAAAGACAGCAATGTTGATGTTGCTAGGTATAAATAAAGAAAAAAGATATTGCTAGGTAGTTGAACAACATTGGGAATATACTAAATGTCCCTGGGTTGTACCCTTAAAATGGTTAATTGCATGTTATGTAAATTTCACCTAAATTTTTAAAAACTGCTAGGACCACCCTGGCTGTGTAGTTCAGTTGGTTAGAGCATTGTCCCCATAAGCCAAGGTTATTGGTTCCATCCCAGATCAGGGCATATATAAATTCAACCAATAAATCCATAAATAAGTGGAACAATAAACTGATCTCTCGCTCTTTCTTTCCCTAAAACCAATTTTTAAAAAGAAAAAATAATTGCTAGAACCAAATAACCTTTAAATTTTTCTTTTCTTTATTTTAGCGTGCCCAGAGTGCCTCAGTTGGTTGAGCATCCTCCCATGCATCAGGCGGTTATGGGTTTGATCGCCACTTGGGAATCTATGGAAGGGAACCAATTGATGTTTCTCTCTCTCTGACCAACAGGATTTGAATTCAGTTCCTCCACATCCTATCCAATGTCAGTCTTTTACATTTTAGTCATCCTAATAGGTGTGTAACGGTATCTCAGACTATTTTGCTATATTTGTATTTCCTTCATGACTATTGATATCGAGCAGGTTTTCATGTGCTCATTTGTCACTCATGTCTTTCTTGATGAAGTATTAGTTGAAATCTTTTGCCCCCATTTTAGTGAGTTATTTTCTTATAACTGGATAGAGTTTTGAGTTCATTCTGGATACAAGTCCTTTATCTGGTATACGTTTTGCAAACATTTTCTCCCATTCTGTGGCTTGTCTTTTCATTCTCTTAAAAATGTTCTTTGAGGAGCAGAAAATTTTAAACTATAGTGACAGAAAGCACACCAGTGATTGCCTAGGGCCTGAGAGTGTGACAAAGATTGGCTGAAAATAGACAGGAGGGATTTTTTTCCAGGGGTTTTATATGTTCTCTAACTGGACTGTGGTGACGATTGCAAAACTCTGTAGATTTACTAAGTATCATTGAATTTTACACTTAAAGGAAGTGAGTTTTATGCAATGGCCTTTTAGTACAATTTAAAAATTTTTTAAATTGTTAAGGTATGAAACCCTTGGGTGTGTCAGACACTATACTAACTGCAGGGTATAAGATGATGGTGAACAAAACATCCCCAATCTTTATTCTCCTGCGGACTTGGCTAAACAAATACCGTAAGTACTGCCCTTGCTGGTATGGCTCAGTTGGTTGAGCATTGTCCAGTGCACCGAAGGGTCACTGGTTCAATTCCCCGGAGAGGGCACATACACAAATTTCGGGTCCAATCCCTGGTTGGGGCAGATGCAGGAGGCAACTGATGGATGTTTTCCTCTCTCCTTTTCCCTCTCTCTCTATAAAATCAATAAGCTTTTCCTCAGGTAAGGATTTGTGTTAAAAGAAGATACTGCCAAACAGTTTTCCTACTGAATTCCAGTTGTTCCATGCGCTTGTGTTGGCAACTTAAAAAAAAAAATCTGAAAAAAAAAATGATCTGGCCCTGACCCGTTTGGCTCAGTGGATAGAGCGTTGGCCTGCAAGCTGAAGGGTCCCGGGTTCCATTCCGGTCAAGGGCATGTAGCTTGGTTTCAGACACATCCCCAGTAGGGGGTGTGCAGGAGGCGGCTGATTGATGTTTCTCATTGATGTTTCTGATCTCTGTCCCTCTTCCTTCTGCTCTGTAAAAAATCAGTAAAATAGCCGAAACCGGTTTGGCTCAGTGGATAGAGCGTCGGCCTGCAGACTGAAGGGTCCCGGGTTCGGTTCCGGTCAAGGGCATGTACCTGGGTTGCGGGCGCATCCCCAGTAGGAGATGTGCAGGAGGCAGCTGATCGATGTTTCTCTCTCATCAATGTTTCTAACTCTCTATCTCTCTCCCTTCCTCTCTGTAAAAAATCAATAAAAAATATATTTTAAAAAAATCAGTAAAATATATATTTTTAAAAAATCTGTATGCCACCAGTTTGTCACCTGTAGCCTAGGCATCTCCAGTTCTCCAGGGAGAAAGATCTTTATGAGCTAAGTTCAGATCTCAGCCGTGTCAATGTCTTAAGGCCTTGTAGTGTCTCCCACTCCTTGGATAATAGCCAAACTGCTTAGCCTGGCATCAAACACCGCCTGTAGGCTGTGGCCCTACTGTTTTCTGCCTCTTCCCTTAAATCTTCACCGCCACTCTCCGTTTCTCCATCCCTGCCACTCGGAAGGCCCCAGAGGGCTGTCAGGATCCACTAAGACTGCATGCTTTGGAACGTGCTGTCCCCCTGGCCAGTTTGTGTGCTCTCTCTCCTGCGGACTTGGCTGAACAAATACTGAGTCCTTGGGAGAGGTATCCTGTCTGCAGTCTCTCTACCCCAGGGCCAAGCATAATGCCTGGCATTCAGAACGTATCTGTGCCAGGCCCTCTCTGGTGTTGTTTTCTTTTAAATGCAGATCGAAGAGAAAAGAGAAAAGGATCAATTTTAATATTACCCTGCTGCCCCCCATTGTTCTCTCCAGAAGCGACCACTGGCAACTTTCTCGTACATTCTTCCTGAGCTAGGCAATGAGTGTGTAACTTCATATTCAATATACCTATATGTTCAATAGACGCAATGGAAAAGCAAGCTGAGATTGGACATAAGGAAAGGCGCTCATCTAGAGGGTGACATTTGTGCAAAGACCGGAAGGAGGGTGAGGAAGGGACTGCAGTGGTCTGTGCGAGCAACAGGTGACAAGGCCCTGAAGCAAGGGGTGCGGGGCCTGTTCGAGGTTCAGAAGGCGGAACAGGGTGAGCAGTGGTGAAAGTCATCCAACGGGGCCACATCAGAGGTCTGTACAGGCCATTCTAAGGACTTCAGGCTTTCTTGAATGAGAAGCGAAGGCACTAGACGTATTGATCAGGAGTTAGTCTAATGATTTTCAAAATTCACTTAGTAAAGCGATGCCTCAGTATTTCTTTCCAAGAGCTTGGTTTTCACTATGTGAAGATGCCATAGTTTATCGGGGCCTCTCAAATGATCGACATTTGGTCTATTTCCAAGCTTTTGGATTCGAAGTAGCCTGTTTCTTCCTCTCCAAGAATTCCAGCTTGCAATTTCCCGATTAAAACCTTTTTCTATAATCACTCAACTCAATTCCATTTTTTACAAGTAACTGTTTATTTTAAAAATAACCAACAGCCCTAGCCGGTTTGGCTCAGTGGATAGAGCGTCAGCCTGCAGAGTGAAGGGTCCCAGGTTCGATTCCGGTCAAGGGCATGTACGTTGGTTGCGGGCACCCAGTGGGGGTGTGCAGGAGGCAGCTGATCAATGTTTCTCTCTCATGGATGTTTCTAACTTTCTATCCCTCTCCCTTCCTCTCTGTAAAAAAAAAATAAAATATATATTTTTAAAAATAATCAAGAGAATAACATGCGGTCTCACTGATTCTGGGGTTCCCAGCTCAGAGCCCCAAGTCAGAAGCCCTTATTTCACTTTTAAAAGGTGCTTGTATGAGCAACTGGTTAAGAACAGGCAGGAACCGAGGGGGTGTGCTTTCCGCTTCGCTTCAGCGCTAGAGGGTGACCGCGGCTCAGGAACCCACAAGGCTCTGGTCGACCCCCATGCACCCCTGACTCCTGAAGGGACGGATGATCAAGAGGAAGCTCCGCAGAAAGGCCGGGTTCGAATCACCTGGCTGGGGAACACCGCCGCACGGCCGGGAGTCGGACGACGTCGCAAAGGCCTGCGCCTGCGCAGTGGCGCCTCGGGAGTCGGCTCCCGCTTTCCTTCCCACGACCTCCCTTCCGGCGCCTGCGCATTGAGACCCGCTTCCCGCCGGCCTGCGAAGCTGGAGACCCTAGATATCCTTTCTTGCCGACTGAGGTGGGAGAAATGGATCCCACTTGCATCCATTCTCTCTCCCTTCTCAGTCTACGAGACAGACTTTTAAGTGTTCCATCGCCACTCACCCGGGATGGACGGGAATGAGTCCTTGGGGCACGTAAAGAGCTGGCAAGAACCCAAGTATCCTGGAGCGTTCTGGGTGGGATCACGCACAGATCACGTGGCGGGCATCCACCAATCGGCAGGCAGACCGCACTTTGCGGCTCGGCTTCAAACTGCCGTGAGGCGAGAACGGCCTCCGAGGCCCCGCCCCCCTCGCCTGGGTCTGGGGCCCCGCGAGATGGCAGGCGGGAGTGGGGGCGCCGGGAGCGGGGGCGGGACGCAGTGGTCGAGTGACGGCCCGCCTCACCTATTCAGGACGCGGACCGCAGCCGAGTGGGCCCCGCAGCCAATGGGAAGGGGCGGGGGCCGGCCTGGCCGGCGAGGAGGGGGAGCGAGCGGCCGGGGGATGCGGGGGGAGGAGAAGGCGGGCTCCCAATCCGGTTTCATCTGGTTCTCCCACTGCCCCCATCGCGGGTCCGAGCAGCTTGGGCGGCGGGAGACGCGGCAGCGGCCAGGCAGCCCAGGTTCGCCAAGCCACTAGGCGCGCCGCGGCCCTCAGGCACCCAGCACGCGCCCGGCCCGCCGCCACGATGCCCAAGAGGAAGGTGAGCGGGGACCGCGGCCCGCACACGCCCCCTCGCCGCCCAGGCCTGCTGCGGCGCCCGCGAGGCCCAGGCCTGGCGCGGTCCGGGCGGTGTGGGCCCAGGAGGCGCCCCGGGACCGGCGGCGGCGGAGGGCGGGCGGGCAGGCGCACGGCGGCCTCGTGCGCGGTGCTGGGGAACGCGCGGTGCCCGCAGCTCCGGGGGGGAGATTCGAACCGGCGGCGGGAAGCCCCTGACGTCAGCCGGGCATTGTTCTGCGGGCGGGCGGGCGGGCGGGCGGGCGCGGGGCGCGCGGCACTTCTGTCCGCGGGCTGCGCCCACTCGGTGGCTTCCTTCCACAGGTCAGCTCTGCGGAGGGGGCGGCCAAGGAGGAGGTAAGGCCCGGCTCCGGCCGCGGGGGGAGGGTCCGGTGGCGCGGCAGCCTTCACTCGTCGCTCATTTTCCTTTTCTCTCCCAAAGCCGAAGAGGAGGTCGGCCCGGTTGTCAGCCGTAAGTAGCGCAGCCCCCGCCCCGTCTCTTCCGCGTGGGGTCGGGCCGCGGGGAGAGACTCAGTGCGCCCTTTGCCTTTCAGAAACCCGCGCCTGCGAAAGCGGAGGCGAAGCCCAAAAAGGCGGCGGGAAAGGTGGGTTTCGCACGGACCTTCGGGCGCCCTCGTGTCTGCGAAGCGCTGCTGACCGCGGGACTTGCTCCTCCATAAAGCTCGTTGCCGGCGACTGAGATACTGATGTTGAAAGTTAAATGTCAGCCTCCTGAAATGTCGGAATTTTACCTTTTTTTTTTTTTTTTTTTTTTAAGTTTTGCGTTTTAATAACTAAAGTAAACTTTTTTTCTTTCTGGCCTGAGTAAAATAGGGACATAATTGTCCTGGCTGATGGGGGTGTGATGTGTCACATTAACGCTGCTGCAGAATTTAGGAAACTTAATGACTAAAAGTGTTAAACATTAACCTGAGCCCGCAGGGAAAGCCGCCTTTGTGTAGGTGCGTGTGTGCAGGCGGTGCTGGTGCTGGTGCGCGGTCGCACGCTTGTGTTTCTTCTGACAACAACAGCGAGGCCGGGACGAGGCCAGGAGAAGAGGGAGGTGCACGGTTTTGCCTGTGAAGTTTACAAGCCGGGGAGCGGGTCACACCTTTCCGGTGTGTGGGTTCTTTCTTTTTTTTATTTCAGAGAGGAAGGGAGAGGGATAGAGAGAAACATCAATGAGAGAATCATTCATTGGTTGGCTGCCTCCCGCTCGCCCCCTACAGGGGGTGGAGCCCGCAGCCGGGGCATGTGCCCTTGGCCGGAGTCGAACCTGGGACAGTTCTGTCCGCAGGCTGACACTCTACCCACTGGGCCACACCAGTGAGGGCCATTTCTTTCTAACAGCGTTAATCATGACACCTGCTGCTCTGGAAGAGATTGGCGATCGCATAGCTCACTTTGCAGGTCGTTGGAAGGAAGTTTCTGGGGTTCTGTCCATGTGAGAGCTTAAGCTGGAAAGGCAGAGCATATGTCCATCATTTGTAACTGTTTTTGGATTTGGCTGTGAAATCACCCTCTGCTGAGCTCTCCATGTTCTTCAAGGCGAGCACATGGTGTGATTAATTTCTGTTCACTCAGAACTTAAAAGTGTTTCTTTAAACATTGTACAGAGCTGAGTGTAAAAATCTTAATTTTTCTTTAATAGAAAGTTCTGCTTTGTGGTGTTTTTCTAAGGGTTGAAGGAAGGTATGAACATAGTAAATTAGCTTAGAATTTCTCACAGCAGAAGATAATGCAGAAATTCTCTGTAAACAAAGTTCGAGTTCCCCAGGAAGTTTTCTTGGCTGAAGAAAGAAAAGGTGGGTCATTTAAGATGATTATTGATTTCAGAGAAGGGAAAGGAGGAGAGAGAGAGAAAGAGAGAAACATCAATGATGAGAGAGAATCATTGATCAGTTGCCTCCTGCATGCACCCTACTGGGATCGGGCCCACACTCTCCGCTTGGCCAAACTGGCTACTTAATCTTTGCTTTTTTAATAAACCAATTGGATGAAATACTGTGCCTACTTACCTTTTAAATTGTTCTTTCTTTCCTTATCGATGTCTGTCTATATTTTGGTCTGCCTTAAAATTATTTTAATATAAACAGTTCCCATTTTAACTCCAGTTTGGGACATCACATGTAATAAACATTTTATTTTCTTCCTCTCAGAGAGCAACAGGTAAGTCCTCGTCTCTGTTCCTTAAGGAGCAAGCCTGTCCGTTCATTTTCCCAAAGGAAAGAGAGGGTCAGTGGCCTTTTCCATTCGTTTATGTAATACATCTTTGGTTTTATAGTAGGTCTATTTGTTGCCATAATTAATCCATTTAAAGCCTAAAAGAAGGTAAAGCTTTTGATGTATTGATTACCATACTACAGGGTAGACATGCTGTTTTCCAAGCATGTATATCCAATGTGTGCTCCTGACTTGGATAATTTCCTTAGAAGCATTTTGAAAGTAGAAACATGCATTAGAGAAATGTGTTAATTTATTTTGGGTTTTTTTCTGACTATTAATAGTTAAAAGTGGTATTATTTCAGCCCTAGCTGGTTTGGCTCAGCAGATAGAGAGAGCATCGGTCTGCGGACTAAAGGGTTCGGGTTGGATTCTTCTGGTCAAGGGCATATGCCCACTTTGCTGTCTCGATCCCCAGTAGGGGGCCTGCAGGAAGCAGCCAATGATTCTCTCGATGTTTCTCCCCTCTCCCTTCCTCTTTAAAACCAATTAAAATATTTTTAATTAAAGTAAAAAGTGGTATTATTTCAGTCCAGGCTATTGTAACACTTCATGGTAGCAACCTGTGGAACAGTGTTATCCCAAATATGTTTGTTTACCTAATTTAGTATTGATCCTAAAGGTATGGAATTAATAGTCATCAAGCAGTTGATGTATGGAATGCCACAACTGGTACAGAATACAGTGCACTGATTTTTCTCTCAGCATTGATGTTTGTGAGACCACATGCCTGCCTTTGTGGCCATTTAACTCTAGTATTGGGGGTATTGGTCATTATTGATAGGGGTCTTGATACTACTACTGGTGACTTAATTTAATTTAATTTTGGTGTTGCTACATTTACAGGAAATGTTAAAATATCTATTAAATTTCCCATTGATGGATGGTATCCATAAATATTGTTCTGTAGTGCTTTAAACGTCGCTTAAATTTTAAACCTATTTTATCATCATACTAATTAATATGTGTGCTTTCAGATTCTTCAAAACACCTAAATGATAACGATAAACTCAAAATTGATCCTTTTAGCTACTCATTATATGATAGTCAACCTGACCATACAACATCTTTCAGGTGAATGGGCTACTGTGAGGGTGATTGTCTTGTCAGCTCAGTGGACATTTGACTATTTGATTATTCATGCTTAAGAGAAGTTTGAGAGTTACTGGGGAAAGAGGCAACTCATTTGTTCTGCCGTGTGGAAATTCAGAAAATAGTGGATGATGAGGAAGGTGTGGGGGGAAATTGTGTAGTTCGGGCCTTAGGTTTATACATCATTAAGGCTTGCTAGGCAAGTCCTGTTACAGTTCTTCTTAGTGGATGTGGTTGTCCTGCTTACTGGGGGTGGTGGACCTTAAGGTGGCTCGTGTGAAAAGTGTCATGTAACTCAGGCTGATGTGCAACAGAACATTCACATTGCAACTATTGTGGATACTGTCTCATAGGATAAGTCTGCAGACAAGAAAGTGCAAACAAAAGGGAAGAGGGGAGCAAAGGGAAAGCAGGCGGAAGTGGCTGACCAGGAGCCTAAAGAAGACCTCCCTGCGGAAAATGGAGAAACTAAAAACGAGGAGGTTGGAACGTTTGTGTTGTTGGTTTTTACGCTGACAGTAGATAATAAGTTACACTTTTTTTTTTTTTTTAAATATATTTTATTGATTTTTTACAGAGAGGAAGGGAGAGGGATAGAGAGTCAGAAACATCGATGAGAGAGATACATCGATCAGCTGCCTCCTGCACATCCCCCAGTGGGGATGTGCCCACAACCCAGGTACATGCCCTTGACCGGAATCGAACCTGGGACCTTTCAGTCCGCAGGCCGATGCTCTGTCCACTGAGCCAAACCGGTTTCGGCAATAAGTTACACTTTTATGTAGCTGATAAGATGGTATTTATCTTTTATATTAAATATTTTGTGGCTTAGTGGTTGACTGACATCCATGCGCAGAGACGTCGCTGGTTTGATACCCACTAGGGGGTGTGTGTCCTCATTTTTCTATATCTTTCTCCCTCACCCACTCTCTAAAATCATTAAAAACATTTTAAAATAAATAATAAGTGGACTGCAAGGTTTTGATAAATAACTTTAAGCCAACTAAGCCTCTTTTTACATTATACTGGCTAAACTAGAAAAGAAATAATTTAGGTACTTATTTTTAAGCTTTTCTACTTATAGATCAAATTTTAATGTAATCATCTACTAAATTGTAAGGTTTACAATCACAGTATACTTTGAATTCCTAGTTCTAACCACAGCATCAAATATGTGATATAAGAAGACATTACTAATCTAGTTATGAGGGAAGTATTGAATACATGTTATCAAACTACAGTTGATTGTTGTTACTCATGATGGTTATGTTTTAAGAGGTTGCTGTGAATACTGAACAGTTAGGGGAAATGCAGGGTTAGAATCCTTTACACTGATCACAACACTTCAATTGATTATAACTTTATTTCATCTGTGTTTCTGTTTAATATATGTTGTCAGTACATTAGCATTGAACTCAGGGCCAACAGAAACAGCACTGTAACTCATGCCTAAATGAAGCTATTTCCCCCCCCCCCCCCATGTGTATTTTCTCCATAAGACACATTACAACATCCTTGCACTTGGCAATACAAGACAATACTATACTTGTCTAGACAACATCATCCCCCCACTGCCTGGCGCGCGCCCCCCCCCCCACCCCCCCAAAAAAAAGAAAAGAAAACGTGGAATGTGTGGCACTAAATAGAGCTTGGAAAAGATGCTTGTTTACTTATTAGCGCTGAAACAAGAAGGCAGCACAACCTCAGGTGGTAATGTGCATGTTAGATGACAGATTATTGGTGTTATCATGGAAGCACCATGAATATTGATTTGGGGTTACAAATAAATTTTAATGAGTAGGTGAATTACAAATAAAGAGGATTGGCTTTTTTTTTTTTTTTCTTTTTTGATCCTTACTTGAGGATACATTCTTTTCATTTATTCTAGGGAGAGAGGTGGGGAAATATCAGTTGGTTGCCTTCTATGTGTGCCCTTACTGAGAGTGGAACCCACACCCCTTTGGTGCATGGGACAACACAGCCAACTGACTCACACCGGCCAGGGGAAGAATTGACTATTTTTAAGACCTAAGAGTTATATGTATATATTAGTTATATATATGTAAAACTTACATTGTGTTAAATTCTAATCTCAAAGATCATAGCAATGACACAGAAACCAAATGTTTAATCATTATTTTTCCTTTGATTTGCAGAGTCCAACCTCAGATGAAGCAGGAGAAAAAGAAGCCAAGTCTGATTAATGTCATATACCATGTCTTACCAGTGGTCCCTGTCTCCCTTCTTGTACAATCCAGAGGAATATTTTTATCAACTATTTTGTAAATGCAAGTTTTTTAGTAGCACTAGAAACATTTTTAAGAAGGAGGGAATTCCACCTCATCCCATTTTTTTAAGTGTAAATGCTTTTTTTTAAGAGGTGAAATCATTTGCTGGTTGTTTATTTTTTGGTACAACCAGAAAATAGTGGGATATTGAATATGGGAGACTTTGATTGTCTTGGGTGTCAGCTGAACATTCCATAGATGGGGGTAGTTTTTATATCCTATAATACAAAGCATACTAAATGGCAATTTGGAGTTAGTCGTGCGTTTGCTATGTCTTGAACATTTTAAATTACTTCTATTCACATGTTTTTGGTACAATTGTTTCCTAAAGAAAACCACTCCTTGATCGTGGCTCTCCCTGTCAGAATTTTGTGCATCTGGAACATCTTTGTTGTGGTAGTCCAGTTTTCCTAGTAACTTTGTCAATGTGCTGTGGAAGATTGAAAATTTGATTATGTAGTATATATGCTATTAAATTGTGAATTAGTGGGACTTTGATGTAACAGCGTATCAACATTTGAAGATATTGGTACTTGATACTCTATTAAGGAAAGTCAGCCTCTAAATTTTGAGCTGGAAAGTCACTGGAATAACTGTTCAGAAAAGAATCACAACTACATGACTTGACATTTTTGGTACGTATGTTAAGAATTGTGTACAAATTGAAATGTCTGTGTACTGATCCTCAAAACAATAAAATCTCAATTATGAAAGAATTATTTGAGGCACATGGATTAAGTTCTGGCTTAAATTTTATTTAAACAAGTTCCATGTACTTCCAAAATTTTATTTTACTGTAAATGACTTGGATGTGAGGGCACTCGGATGTGTGGGCGATCTGGCTGCGACATTTCTCACCCCATTGATCACAAGGGTTATAAATTACTTGAACACATCTACATTGTACTTTTTTGTTAATCCTTACCTGAAGATATTTTTCCGTTGATTTTTTTTTAAGATAAAATAAATTTATTTTATTTTTTTATTTCTTTTTTTTCTTCTTCTTTTTTTTTTTTTTTTTCCATTGATTTTTATTTTTAAGAGAGAGTGAAAGGGAGAGGAGAGACAGAAACATCAATTGGTTACCTCTTACATGCGCCCTGGCAAGGCCCAGGAATCTAACCTGTAACCTAGGTACCTACCCTTGACCAAATCAAACCTGCCACCCTTTAGTCCAGCTGTGGGCAAACTACGGCCCGCGGCCTGTTTGAAATGAATAAAACTAAAAAAAAAAAAAGACCGTACCCTTTTATGTAATGATGTTTACTTTGAATTTGTATTAGTTCACACAAACACTCCATCCATGCTTTTGTTCCGGCCCTCCGGTCCAGTTTAAGAACCCATTGTGGCCCTCGAGTCAAAAAGTTTGCCCACCCCTGCTTTAGTCTGAGGGCTGGTGCTTTATCCCTTAAGCCAAACCGGCTAGGGTTACGTTGTACTTTAAAGATGTGTGACTGCATTGGTTCAATAATGGAGAAATAGCCTAATGTCCTCTGAAGCAAGATAAGTATTCACAGGTAGTACGCTTGTAAGTGCTGACTAGGCTAGAACTAGGCCCGGTGTGATTTGTATTTGCGTATTTTTGCTTCCATTAAAAATGTCTGTATTTCCAACCCTCAGCCACCGGCTTCCGCCAGCGGAGGCCGCCTGCGCCCTGGGCGAGGTCACCTCAAGGAGACCAAGGGCCTGCGGCTGCGACAAAAGTGGCTGTGAGCACAGGGGCTGAGGTTGGGGCCACACGAAGGCTCCAGGGTCTTCACGGCCTAGCAGGCCGCCCACGGGACCCCGCTCAGAGGGGAGGGACGCCGGCCTGGGCGAGGGGGGCCCGGGTGCCGAGACGGTGCCCGAGGATCGCCCTGGCTCAGCCTGACTCGCTCCCGCTGGCACCGGCCAAGCCCCCTGGGCCGCAGCCTCAGCCACCAAACAGGAGCAGTTAGCCGGCCTCAGCGGTCTCCCCATGCTGTGCGCCTCCTCATCGCTGTATAGCGTTTTATGTTGAGAACATGGTTTTGTCAGATTTAGAGATTTTCCCCTTTGAAACAAGCATGATGAAATGAAAATATGGGTAATTTCTATTACTCTTTACAGATAAATCCTAAAGGTATATATCTGCCTGTCACAATCCACAGTTGTTCCATGAGTTTGCAGTAAAAATACTTAATTGCAAAACAGCTAAAAGTTTCAAAACATTAGGCTTTGAATAGGTAAGAAAGAGTCTTAGCCCTAACCGGTTTGGCTCAGTGGATAGAGTGCCGGCCTGTGGACTGAAAGGTCCCAGGTTCGATTCCAGTCAAGGGCCTGTACCTTGGTTGCGGGCACATCCCCAGTAGGGGGTGTGCAGGAGGCAGCTGATCGATGTTTCTAACTCTCTCTCCCTTCCTCTCTGTAAAAAAATCAATAAAATATATATTTTTAAAAAAAAAAGAGTCTTAAATAGATGATGGGAAGCAGCTCAGTAACAAGTCGGTTTACGTTACAGCAATAATATGTAATGTTCTGTTTTAAAAAAAAAAAAGGACCCGAGCCCAGCCGCATTGGTCAGTGGTTGGGCATTGTCACCGTTCAATTCCTGGTCAGGGCACATGCCCGGGTTGTGGACTTGATCCCCAATGTGGGGTGTGCAGGAGGCAGACGATCAATGACTCTCTCTCATCACTGATGTTTCTATCTCCCTCTCCCTTTCTAAAATCCATAAAAATGTATTTTTAAAAAACACATGAAAAATAAATATAAAGTCAAGCCATTTAATCCCAAAAGTTAAAAGTAGTTATTTTAGACATGGTGAGTTTCCTTCATATATGAGTTTTTATTTGTAAAATGTGTTAATACTTGCTTAATGGTTCACCATGTGACTATGCCATAATTTGGCCGTTATAGTTAGATGTGTGCGGTTTTTTAAGGAAAATTTTACCCATAGTCAAAGGCAGCACAGTATATTGATCCCCATGTACAGTCACTCCCAACAGCCAGCAAGCCATTGTCCAGATTATTTTGAAGCAAATAAAGATTAACATTTTTAAAATCATATATATGTGAAATTAAAAGTGAACAAAATGCACATAAAGCAAATTTAAATTTTACACATTTTGTCAGGATTGGATGCAAATTCAATTTAACAAGTTTTCTTTTAATCCAGTGTGGCTAGTTTCATCTTTAGAATCAACATACATCTTTCCAGAAGCTAATTCGACATGGATTAAAACCAAGTAAGTAAGTGGGTGTTTTGAAATTTTGAGGGCATGGAAATGTAAGGTGATGTGATTAAAGGATAGAAAGCATTGGGAGAAGGGAAGCCACAGCCCAGAGATGCAAGAGGGACTCAGGGTGGTGCCGGTGCAGGTGGAGTTAGGGGCGGTCCCTGGTATGCCTTCTTGGTTGGCTATGAATGTGAGCCCCCAGGGGAAGGGAGGCAAGATGGGTACTAGGGCTCACCTGAAGCGATAATTCCTTTCTCAGAGGGTCTGAGAATCTGCAGTGCCGGGCGCACACTGATGTCTGATGCTATTCCTCAGTGATTTTCAGCACTTACAACAACTGGATTCCTCGTGGGTTCCCCCCACCTTTACAACGACACACTTGTTATTGAGTAAAGCTTTAGAAAATACATTTGACTTAACTAACTTTAGGTGAGAGTTACAGTTGAGAAGACCTGGCTGTGGTTCTTACTAGACGATGACAATGATTAAGTCCAGTGTTTCCTTACATCCTTAACTGGAAGGATTACTGCTGTGTTTTAGTTTTGCTTCATAACTAAATAATGTTAACATTAAATTTTATCTCTTTATAAAATGTATAGGAACTTTATGTTACCCATAGAAAATTCTAGTTGAAAAACATATGAAAGCTAATGATAAATTTAAGTTATATGAAAAATTTAAGTACACTCATCTGTTATGCATGATTCATTGAGAGGAAAAGCTGACAGTCTTCACGCTTGGATGTGTCCGTGTCAGGATTGGCTGCACATTCTACTGCACAAGGTTATAATTTTTACCACTGCTGATTTGGGTTTTCACAAGAAATGTATTTCAACAGTCTTAACTGTTGTAGCAGGATTACTCACTTTTGCTTCATTTCTTATCTTTGAAGCCAAAGAGAACGAAATATTGAATTCAACAAATTTAAGTGAGCTACTATGAATAAGGTGGTCCCTCAGATATCAGGGGAAACAAATCCTGAGTTCTGGCAAGGGAGCTCATTGCTCTCCCGAACTTCTGGGACTCAAAATGGGTCTTGGTCGGCGCAGATGCACAGTTCAGTGGTCTTAAATACATCCACAGTGTGCAACCACCAGCACAATCCATCGCCA